TATCCTGTATCCTGTATCCTGTATCCTGTATCCTGTATCCTGTATCCTGTACCCTGTATCCTGTATCCTGTATCCTGTATCCTGTATTCTGTATAATCTGTTTAAATACCCTGTTTATGTTTTATCTCTGTTTATTAACTCTTCCTATTTATCTTACACGCTACAACAAACTTTTTTACTTCCGGAGAATGGGCCAAGTTTTTTAATCATAACTAACAAAGTTTACCAGAGTTTTATATTCATATATATTTTCTTCAATCTGAACTTCATGCATTTTATTCCGGAATAGTGAAGGAAGAAGAAAACTTTTGAAAAAGATTTTTCAATCTATTGAAATATTCTTTATTATTCAAGATTTCCAATTCCAAATTTAAAACTCAGAAAAATTAATTGTGGATGTTTTAAATCTTCAGGGACCGAGTTTAATGAATTTAAGCTACGTCTCTGAACACCTTCTTGACGGTTAAAATTTGAACTAATTTGAAGTTAAAGATCTGCAAGAAGGATTTGAACTGGTGATTCAAATTTAAACTAGTGGTAAGCAGTTCAGCAACCCCCTCAAATTCATTAAATTCGGCCCCAGGACAGAAACAAATCTCAAGAACTAAAAAGCATTAACCGAGACCAATATACATTTTCAAAACATTTTTGAAATAACATCTTTTTAAATTACTTAAATGTGGTTTGAAACAATATCCACGCAAAATTTCGAATAAATCTCAACGATAAATATATTTAAAGCTTTGCACTGATGCAGTCCTTGTGGCTCACACTATCATATTCGTGCTTAAAGGGTCTGTTGACATTATTTCAAGGGACCCTTCATAAAAATGTGATATGTCCGATTAACAAAGGCACCCTTAAAAGCTTTGTCTGATAAAGTATGGACTCTCTACAAAAGTGACTTCCGCATTTCTATGGCAGGAAAACAATGGAGGGATTATCAGAATTACCACTTTTTAAATTAGAAAAATGATCGACCTTATCTTTCAAATTATTAATCATATTAAGTTTTCAAGCGTTTTTTTAAATTAAAAAAATTCATTTTCTGACATTTCTTATGAATACCAGCACATCTAATAATATTCAAACTTTTAATTCAAATTTCAAATTTAATCTTAAATTTAGATCTTCGATTCATCTTGGCAATAAGTTTTAATCTTAGAGGAAACCTCTTGTAATCTTTCTTGACTCTCCATGCGCCAATGCCCGATTTACAAGGGTACCTTTTAAACCTTTGACTGATCATCAGGGGTGGAGAACACCGTGTGCTTTTCTCTGAAATCGCGTTTAAATTGCTGTAAAACCGAAGTGTACACTAGCGTACAGTGTGAGCTAAAACAGTAGACGTTACATGTAATATTTAAAAACATCATGATGTTCAAACAGTTTTTAAGGATATGAAAGGACAGCAGATAATTTTCTTCAATTTCAGAAAGTAAAGAGTAATATTCATATTTAATTATGTTAAATATATAAATAATGAATAAATAAATAAGAATTATAGTTCGTCATCTTTACTCAGTCATCCCAGAGAACTGTGACTTTCGATCACAATATGGTCTTTTAAACATTACTTTTTCGCCTTTTTTAAACTTTGTTGTCAGCATATGCGTTTTAAACGAAAAAGTATACAATGACAACTCCGTAAGTTAAAGATTGTTGAATTTTAGACCATAACTCGATTGAATTCGAACAGAAGAAACCGAATGCATCTCGCCCTGGTACACACCGCTTTACAAATGGAGGGTCACTTTAAAATATTTTTAGTTTCTATTGAATATTGTAGTTCCTATAGATGTAGAGGAATGCTTAGATTTTATAAATTTATATTTTCTTATATAAATCAAAAATACTGTTGAAGAGTTTATTTAACGATTCAAATCCGTATCCTTTAAACTTTTGTATAAAAGGACTGTGGAGGGTCTATGCAATTTCATTTAATTTTATTTAAAGAGCTACCTGCTCGATTTAAAATCATTACCTTCTAAACTTTTATTAGAAGAACAATGAGCAAGATATAAACTCTGTCTAATTTCTTTAATTTCCCTGCTACATATATCGACAAAAAAAAACAAGAATATCTTTGTAATTTTTGCTGAACCTAACGTAGCGGGTCCCGTTGTGAATCGGATACTTAAATCTTTCAATGGAAGTTTACTTGAAATTACTTGTTACTTGTTAATATCGTAAATCTGTTGTAGGTTCTGAAGGAACTGCAGGCTAGGAAAGAGGCAGAGATGGTTCAGAAGATCATCGAGAAGGTTAAAGCGGAGTGTCAAGCCCAGGGGGAAGATGTGGACCGTAGAGGGTATACCAAACATCACTAGGGGGCCCAGCGGGAGGATATGGACCGTAGAGGGTATACCAAACATCACCAGGGGGCCCAGGGGGAGAATATGGACCGTAGAGGGTATACCAAACATCACTAGTGGGCCCATGGGGAGAATATGGACCGTAGAGGATATACCAAACATCACTAGTGGGCCCATAGGGAGAATATGGACAGTAGAGGATATACCAAACATCACTAGGGGGCCCAGGGGGATGGATATGGACCGTAGAGGATATACCAAACATCACTAGGGGGCCCAGGGGGAGGGTATGNACGTTTTATTGGAAGGGTATACCAAACATCACTAGCTGGCCCAGGGGGAGGATATGGACCGTAGAGGGTATACCAAACATCACTAGTGGGCTCAGGGGGAGGATATTGACCGTAGAGGGTATACCAAACATCACTAGTGGGTCCAGGGGGAGAATATGGACCGTAGAGGGTATACCAAACATCACTAGTGGGCCCAGGGGGAGAATATGGACCGTAGAGGGTATACCAAACATCACTAGTGGGCCCAGGGGGAGAATATGGACCGTAGAGGATATACCAAACATCACTAGTGGGCCCAGGGGGATGATATGGACCGTAGAGGGTATACCAAACATCACTAGCTGGCCCAGGGGGAGGATATGGACCGTAGAGGATATACCAAACATCACTAGGGGGCCCAGGGGGAGGATATGGACCGTAGAGGATATACCAAACATCACTAGGGGGCCCAGGGGGAGGATATGGACCGTAGAGGGTATACCAAACATCACTAGGGGGCCCATGGGGAGGATATGGACCGTAGAGGGTATACCAAACATCACTAGTGGGCCCAGGGGGAGGATATGGACCGTAGAGGATATACCAAACATCACTAGGGGGCCCAGGGGGAGAATATGGACCATAGAGGATATACCAAACATCATTAGGGGGAAGAGGTGTGTATTGCAGACTGAAAAAAAGTCTGAATGTGCGGAAAAACAATAAAATGTGAAATTAAAAATGAAAGTACAGTTACAACATTAATTAAAACAAACTAAAAGACAAAACAGACCAAAGTTCAAGTGAAATAAAAACAGAAGAAATTATCTCTTTTCATAGAAAAGCCGCAAACAAATTATAGTTAACTATGTAATTGTTTAGGAATTAGGGATTTCCAAAAAACATGATGAAATAAAATTTTAATTTCCATCACTTATTGAACATAGTTGTCATACAAATACAATCATAGTATTTAATTCCCTCTGCCTTAAATACAAGATACAAGGAAATTTCAAATATACCAGATGATAGTAGATCTTTGAATATTCCTGTACAATATTGCAGTTTATCTTCTATATGTACATAATTAGAACATGATTTATGTGCATAGTACGCTGTACATCCTACCTCAACATTTTCAATGCTTTTAAAGATATCATTTCAGTCGAGGTTTAACATGAAATCAAGGAATAAAAAATTTTAAATTTAACTCAACTTTTAAAGAACGATGCAGATAGCTTAAAAGTACAATTAAATAGCATTTTGATTAAATTTAACCGTCTTGAAACTAATTTGTTAAAATAAAGTAGAATTAATGAAATAATTTGTAAATCCAAATTAGTTCTAAATGCTTCCAAGGTGAAATAAAAAATATCAAAATTAGTTTAAATTTAAAGAATTGTTCACCCATTGAAAAATAATCTTAAAAAACCCAATTTTTTTCGGAATTTTTGTCAAAATGATATGTTTAAAATTTGAGTTCACATTGTCTCAGAAATCCCGGTTTTACAAACAAAATTAACATGGTTATTCTTATACGTTATCAGGTTCCATTATACGCTATCAGGTTCCATTTTACGTTATCAGGTTCCATTATACGTTATCAGGTTCCTTTATACGTTATCAGGTTCCATTATACGTTATCAGGTTCCATTACACGTTATCAGGTTCCATTGTACGTTATCAGGTTCCATTATATAGACTCGTGTGATTTAACTTCAATACGTTTAAACACTCAACCTTTTTGTATTATCATATCGGAGATTTATAAAGTAAATAAAAGACCTGCTTTTATATTTTAGTTATCAAACATTTTTATCCCTTCATAAACATCTTTAAATTTTTTTTTTATGTTTAGAAACATTCCCTTTAAGCTGTTTTCAAATAGGTGAACATTCCCCTTAAGCTGCTTTCAAATAGTTGAACATTCCCTTTAAGCTGTTTTCAAATAGTTGAACATTCCCTTTAAGCTGTTTTCAAATAGGAGAACATTCCCTTTAAGCTGTTTACAAATAGGAGAACATTCCCTTTAGGCTGTTTTCAAATAGGTGAACATTCCCTTTAAGCTGTTTTCAAATAGTTGAACATTCCCTTTAAGCTGTTTTCTTATAGGTGAACATTCCCTTTAAGCTGTTTTCAAACAGGTGAACATTTCCTTTAAGCTGTTTTTAAATAGGTGAACATTCCTTTTAAGCTGTTTTTAAATAGGTGAACATTCCCTTTAAGCTGTTTTCAAATAGGTGAACATTTCCTTTAAGCTGTTTTTAAACAGGTAAACATACCCTTTAAGCTGTTTTCAAATAGGTGAACAATCCCTTTAAGCTGTTTTCAAATAGATGAACATTCCCTTTAAGCTGATTTCAAATAGGTGAACATTTCCTTTAAGCTGTTTTTAAATAGCTGAACATTTCCTTTAAGCTGTTTTTAAACAGGTGAACATTCCCTTTGAGCTGTTTTTAAATGGGTGAACATTCCATTTAAGCTGTTTTTAAATAGGTGAACATTCCCTTTAAGCTGTTTTTAAATAGGTGACCATTCCCTAAAGCTGCTTTTAAATAGGTGAACATTCCCTTTAAGCTGTTTTCAAATAGGTGAACATTTCCTTTAAGCTGTTTTTAAACAGGTGAACATTCCCTTTAAGCTGTTTTTAAATAGGTGAACATTCCATTTAAGCTGTTTTCAAATAGGTGAACATTCCCTTTAAGCTGTTTTTAAATAGGCGAACCTTCCCTAAAGCTGTTTTTAAATAGGTGAACATTCCCTTTAAGCTGTTTTTAAATAGGTGAACAATCCCTTTAAGAAATTATTCCGGTTGCTTCGAGATACATTTATAGTTCAACACAATAAACGAATTTATAAAATGATTTTGTGAAAATATCAGAAATTGTTTTATCATATGTATAATTAATATCAATGCTTATTAAAGTTTTATCTGTTTATTTATCATATTTTATTGTGTATTGTTAAGATATTAGATAATTATTTAAAATCTATATATATTGTATTAATTAATTCTAGTTTCAACTAATTTATTTATCTATTAATGAAAAGATGGAATTTTTTATTTAACTTTTAAAAGTTTATGTTAGAAAATTTGATATTTTAGATGAAAGAACCACGCAACTTTATCATGCAATCTCATTAGGTTTTTCATATTTGGCCTTTGATGCAAAGGATAATTTAGTCTTTTTCTCTCATACTTTGATCCTCTACAGAACATGAGTACAGTTTTTACCAAGTTATGATTATTAACTCTCAAAGTGGCATTTTCTTAAATGATTTTTATCATAAACTGATAAACGGTAGAAAATCTTTTCCTGTTTAAACTAAAAATGTAGCCCGTAGTTGTTTATTTTATTTATATATAAGCAACAATTTTAGTTTTTCCCAGTCCCAACATGGACTGTCTTTGTAATTTGAGATGAACCTCCATATCAAGAGGGGCATGTCAGATACACAACGGTACCAACCCATACCTCATCAATAATGTTTAACAAAGTGTTAACATATATTTAGTTCTGCTAATTTCCGCCATAGTTTCTGTAGTAGCAGAATTCCGCAATTCACTTTTAAAGAGAAACTACATTTTAAAAATCAATTTTTAAAGTTAAAAACATGGATATCTTATTCATTCTCGATCATGAAAAGCTTTCAGTGCACCGTTGTGAATTGGACCTGTCACATTATGAAATGGAGGTTCACTTGATGTTACGTCTCTACATGGTTCATTATAAGAACATGTTTTCAATCAAATAAAAACTAAAAATATTTTACTATTTGATCCAATATAAATGTATCCTGCTCCCTCAAAAGTCCTTGCTCATTATTTACATCAATTTAAGATGCAACATTTTCATAACTTCCTTTATATGCACACCTAGTTTTATACAGATCAAGGGTGAAAATATTAGATCTGTTCTTATATACACCAAACCTTCATCTTTCCCACCGTTTTCTATGTAAAACTTGTAACTTGTGTAGGTTGTTATATTCAAGTATTTATGTTAAATCAATAAATATACAATTAATATTATTTAACTTGTGTGCAGTTTTTAATAATAATTTTTGTCAACATTCAAGTTAAAGATGATCAAATACTAGAAATATTCATCACAACAAAGCACGGGAAAAAGTACAGAAAAATAATTCAAGAAAGGAACGGAGATTAAAATTGATGCTAATCTTGTGTGTTTTAATAGAGTCGAAGGGCACAATTTTCTTTTACGTTTTTGGCGCTATTAAGAACAATTTAGGAAATGTATTAAAGGGGATGTAAGCGTAATTTAAAGTGACTCTCCTTGGTTCACAACGGTACCCTTAAATCGGCGTCAAACCTCATAAAAATCCAACGTATAGAAACCGCTACGTATAGCAACAAGGCGTATTTTCCGGGAGAACATTTTTTATATTTTTGAGAAATTAAATAATCAGTATAAAGTAGATATAATTTTCATAAAATCCTTTTACTTAAATGGTAAAACGGAATTTTATGAAACCATATTCGCATTACTGGAGAACATTTTTTTATACTTTTAAGATTTTTTTTTCTTCTAAAAATAAAACTGTAGATAGCATTTTTATAAAATATCTTTTTTAATAGTAACACGCAATTTTATGCATAACCATATAATCATTCATTTATGTTGTCAGTACATAATAAAATCTGGGGGACCTTAAACACAATAGAGAGCAGTACAATTGTACGTATTAAATTATTTGGCTCCTTTAATGTCTATAGGGTATGTTAAAAAAATAGAAATTATGATAATGATAATGATAAGCTACAATGTTTACAAAAACGTTTAATTTCTCAAAAATATAAAAAATGTTGTAGCGGTTTCTATACGTTGGATTTCTATAAGGTTTGACTTCCCTTAAATCCTTTATCTGACCAAAATGTGGAAGATATTGTCTTTTTTACAGCTTTAAAAGTATTTAATTCCGATAATTCCGATAAGACATCTTATAGTGTAGAAATGCGCAATTAATATATTAATCATACTTGATCAGACAAGGATTTTAAGGGTACGGTAGTGAATCGGGCATTGCCTTCTTTACATGGAGGATCACATGAAATTACTCTAACAATCCCTTTAATAAGAAATGAAACCTGTTCACTTTGTCAGGGTAATGACTAAGAAATCTCTAAAAGTGCTTATGGTTGTTTCGGGAACAAAATCCAAACCTACGATAATAATTAAAAAATATTTTAAATTGTATTTTTCACTTGTTTAAAAATGAAGCGTACTGCAATGTTTTTTTTACATAAACAGTTGAATATATACACTTTTCTCTAATTTTTCTATAGAATATCCTAGCTATATTCTATAGAATATCCTAGCCATATTCTATAGAATATCCTCGCTATATTCTATAGAATATCCTCGCTATATCTATATATAAATTTGGCTTGTCTGTCTGTTTGTTTGTTTGTCTGTTTGTATCCAATAAACGTCAAAACGGCTGAACCGATCGGGCCCAAATTTTTTGTGGGACATCTAGGGACCCCAGGGAAGGTTTATGAATGATCAAAATTTCAAATATTTGTCTCCATCAAAATTCGATCTTCATTAAATTTTTGAAAATTTTGAAAATCCACGAAATTTTTTGTGAAAATCCGCAAATTATTTTTGTTTTGTTTTACGATGTACAAAAAGAGAACATGTTTACAATTAATTTAGAAGATGGGCGCGAAGCGCCCTATAAGGCTAGTATTCTATAGAATATCCTCGCTATATTAACTTTTCAAACATTTAAACCCACACCATTCAACGTTTTATTGGAAAGAAGACGAAAACATACAAAAACATACAACCATAAAAAAAACATAAAAGAAATGAAATTTAAACAAAATAAAACATTTTTTCTAAGCCCCGATGTAAAGTTTAGAATTCATCTCTAATTTGTGAAGAGCTTTCCGGCAAATCTACTACAAGCACTTCCGGATCTTCTTCTTCCGCATCTAGTACTTCCGCCTCTTCTTCCGGTTCGATTACTTCCGGTTCTTCATCTTCTGAATCTACTACTTCCGGTTCTTTATCTTCTGCATCTTGTACTTCCAATTCGTCTTCTTCCAGATCTTGTGCTTCCTGCTCTTCTTCCGGTTCCAGAACTTCAACTTCCGGCATTCCTCTTTTCACTCCCGGTTCTTTTTCTTCCTCTTTAACAGTGTTTTTCTCCTTTTCAATTTCTGTTTTGGATCCAACGGTTTCTGCTAGTTTCATCTTTTCTCTCAACTCTTTCCTCAACCGTTTTCTAAAATATTCAACCATTATTTGCAAACAAAAATTTTAAAGTTTAAAACTAAATAGCATCAAAGTAATAAATTTATAAGTTTAGGAATATTTACAAACGACAGAGATTTTGAAGTTAAGTGGATAATTTAGTTTGAAAAATAAAAATACAAAATGCTGTGTTTATTCTGACTTCTGAGGGTACAAAAACAGGAAAAACAAATTTTTACTTTTTAAATTTAATTTTGCTTGCTAAATCGTTTGTACAGATCAAAGATAAAAGATTAAAAGCAGCATTTAATTTCTACATTTCGTCCCATATTTTAAAATTTACATATTGGGTTTCCTGTATGGTATCTATTCCCTTTTGAGAATTAGAAACAAAAATGATTAAGATGTTTGAAATTTACCTTAATGCTTTTTCCTCATATTTCTCCACCTCCTTTATATACGTTTCTAAAGTCTCTAAATCTCTTTTCCCTAAGAAAAATTTATATTAATATTATTTATTGTTGCGGAAATTCAGCTAAATCTAGAAGAAAAAAATTTAAAAATGCGAAAACAAAAGAAAACATTTTATTCATTAGTGGTTTTTGTAGACAAAAAAAGTCAAGAACGTCAGCAAAAGTAGTAAAAGAAGGATTTGTTTCCCTTCAGGTCAAGAGAAAATATCAAAAATAAATATTTGCAAATTTTTAAAGTATTTTATTAAGAATTTCTTGAATGATAAAAAATAACGATGTTTTCTCTATCAAGAGTTCTCTTGTGTATATATCAGATGTGCATAATCTTTAGAGAGAAAATGCATATATACAGGGTGTACCATAGGGTGGACATGATGGACAGGGTGTACCACAGGGTGGACATGATGGACATGGTGTACCACAGGGTGGAAATGATGGACAGGGTGAAACACAGGGTGTTCAGGATGGACATTGTGAAAAACAGCAAATTTTATTTAAATTTTCAAACCAAAATGCAAGAATTTTTTTCTTAGTACTGATGTTTGTATTGGAACGGAATTGAGTCTTTGCCGCAAACTCTAATCTCTTTATCTTTGCTACACAATGTTGGAGACCTTTTATATTTCAAACGGTGAATTCTGTTCAATCAATTAGTCTAAGTTTAAAATATTAAATGTTTACAACATCTGGTTGCAAAGATAAAGAGATTAGAAAATTTTAGCTGTGGCGCAGACCAATTTAATGTGACTCACCCTGTAACTTGAAGTTTAGAAAAATTTTCTTTACTATGCTGATATGCCAAAGATATTATTAGCTTTAAACTTTCAATCCTCTGAGAATAGTTTCCTTTGAGAACTTTGGTTGGTTTTGGTTCACTCAAGCTTATTGTTCAATTTTCATAAAGAACCATTTTATTAACAAACTTGAAAATTAAATTTTAGAAGAAAAAAACAACTCTAAATGAAGTGTAAATAACCGGCCCTTGGATTATTTTATTCGATCAAACATCGACCCGTCCAAAAAAGAATAGATGAGAAATAATTCGAATCGAATCAAGACTTCCCCTGAGCTATCAATATAATAGGTTGACCTATCTAAAAAAAAAAGAATATAGCTGACCGGATTTCAACAATTTTGAATACAATACGTCTTTTATTGATATAACTTTACCTTGAAAAATAATCAAAGAAAAGTAAAAGACCAGAAATTAATATGAAAATGTTAAACATATTTGCTGACATCTTCACTTATGCCCAAAGCAGAATGAAATCTGTTATTTCGATAAAATAAAACATAGCACTTACAAACCAAATAACTTTGCAACCCGATTTTCTGCAACTTTAATATTTTAAACTATGAATTCTGTTGGCTCGAATAGTATAAGTTTGAAATTGCCAAAGGTTTTCAACTTCAGGTTGCGAAATTATTGGGCTTGAAAAAAGATTCGTTGCGAGTGTTCAGATTTTATTTTATATAAGGTTAGCGGTTCATAAATTAAGATTAGAAAAAGTAACAAACCGTAATATTTTCTGAATTCTGTGTCGTTTGCAGGAACCCAGGCTATTGTTGGATAATCAAGTACATCAAAATATATCAGCTCATTGTTAATTATATCCATCTAGGAGAAATATAATTTAAGTTAAGGGTGCAACTCTCCTCTATGGCATTTATTTAATAATTTTTAAAAAAATGTTGGTTCTCTTTTTTCAATCAAAATCAAAAGTTTAGAAAAGCAAAAATGTGCATTTATATTATTTCTATCAAATGTTAAAATTTTATAAATATGGAATAACAGAATCACAGAAAATTCGCAAAATTGTAGTAAGATAATTCGCAAATATCCGGCTGGTCAATTTTTTAAGGAAAAGTTGTTTTTCGATGGCTCCTCAGTTTTCAACTGAACAACGTATAGTTATAACTTTAGAATATACTAAGAAGAAAGGAACTAGAGGATTTAAAGATCGCATTATTCAAGATTCTCAAGCAAAATTTCTTGGAATCCTTTCTCCTTCAGCACATCAAATTAAAAACATCTGGCGTGAATTTAAGAATACTGTAACCATCAATAACCTCAGTAATAGTAATATAATTTAAGTATATCAGCTCATTATTGGTTAGTTTTTGGGTTTCCAGCCCATTGGAACAATCGTTTCGCAAAAATGTCGCATTTATGCAAAACTTTTGTGTTTTGCAGAAAATTTGGAATTCATTTCGAAAAAAATGCAAAAGTTTTCGCATTAATCTGTTTTGCAGGAAAAAAAATGTAAAATGTGAAATAGTCCCATATTTGTTTTTTTTCTCGCAAAATTCCGCATCGTTTTCTTTTCTTTTCGCAAAATTCATTTTCGTAAAAAATTGTGAAATTTCGCATTTATTTGCGAAAGTTTCCTTTCGCTGGAAACCCTTTAAGTCCCACGCAATGATGTTTATTAATTTTAAATTTTAAAGTTTAAAATGTAACCTTTGCAATCTGAATATGTTTACTATCCTTGAATTGTTCCCCAATAGAATTCCAGGTTTCAGATTCTTTCTTGCACTTCTCTAAACATATTTCAAACTGTCAATATTGATTGTAATGAAAATCCTAAACAGTACCAACTAGTACCAACTACAGTCTACACGGTGTCCAAATAAAAATAGGTATAATGCAGCCTACAGGGGGTACTAGTAAGTTATTTTTAAGCATAATTTACCAAAATAATTTACCCATAACATGAGATTTCTATAAATTGACGAACAATTTTCAAGATACTAAGAAGTTATGCAGACTCTTAGTTGGAAGGCAAAAATAGTTCTGCAATTGTTTTTTTTATACAGTATTGTAAATCATTAAAATACTGATATTAAATTCGCCTCTTAGTTCCTGTGTTTTATCAAAATATTCTCAAAAGGCAAAATAATGATTAAAGATTTACAGCAGGAGCTAAAGATTTTCAAAAATAAACATTTGTCTATTTCTGATACTTTGATATTGTTGACACAGAATTATGGTAAATTGCTAAAAAAATATTTTATTTTACATTTGTTTTCTGAAAATATCAAAGAAACCCAAAACAAATTAATTTATTTTATTAAATCTCTCCATGCATAAAGAGATATATTTTTTTATTTATGATAGTTTGGTATAGAATTATTGTGAATCGTTCAAAAAAGTTTAGTTTTAATTTTGCATTTGTTTTCTGAAAATAGCAAAGCAGTCCAAAACAAATTAAGCTTGAAAGAGGATCAATTTTATTAAATCTCTTCATGCATTGTATAGACTAGAGTTAGTTGTTAGTTTGCAACTTGAGTAGACTCAAACCTGCAACATCAAGTTCATTCATAACTTTATATTATCATGAGGGACTGAGGGTGTAGATACAGGGTGTCCCACATCATATTGGATTGAATATAGATTTGTTATTGTTATTTCCGGGACTGATCAGAAAATTAAAAATTAAAAAATTGTATAAGCTTAATATAAAAATTTGTGTTCCGAACATACTAGGTTTTTTAAGTATTATGTGCGTATTTGGGCGTTAAAGCTGGGAGATAATCTAATATGATATGGGACGCTCTATACATATGCAATAAATATCGTGCAATTGTAATAAATATTGTGTAACACGATATTGGTAAACCTGAACTACGTAACATGATTAAAACATGTATTGTGATTAGATTAACTATGTTTATATCTATCCGCGCTTATCTTTTAAATACATACATTAAACTTAAACTACGCTTTAAACATGTATTGTGATAGTTGACTACGTTATACTATCCGCGCTAATCTTGTAAATACATACATTAAACTTAAACTACGCTGTATATTTAAAAAATGTAATTACGTTGATTAACGTTAACTTGTACCATAGATATCTAAAATATACACTTACCTCACCAAGAAGCGTACATAAACCTATCCACTTACCACACCAAGGAGTGTACATGAAAATATACACTTACCACACCAAGGAGCGTACATGAAAATATACACTTACCGCACCAAGGAGCGTCATAAACCTATCCACTTACCACACCAAGGAGCGTGCATTAAAATATACACTTACCACACCAAGGAGCGTACATGAAAATATACACTTACCGCACCAAGGAGCGTACATGAAAATATACCATTACCGCAATAAGGAACGTACATGAATATATACACTTACCGCACCAAGGAGCGTACATGAAAATATACGTACACTTACCGCACCAAGGAGAGAACATAAACCTATCCACTTACCACACCAAGGAGCGTACATGAAAACAAACAAGCTCTTCTCCGACTGATGAACGGCAGGGGCCAGGTTCTGCAGTGCTAAAATATATGTTGATTAAAGGGACCTTTTACAAAATGCAAATTAGAGTTTAGTTGGTAGCTGCAGACTTACTTTCCTCAAATTTTTACATCTTAACATTTTGTTCAATACAACTATAAACGAGGAACATTATTTAATGCTGTGATATTTTCTGAACGAAATCCGAACGTTATATAAAGGCCATCATTTGAATAGAATATAAATATAATATATCCTAATGCATGATACTGAATTTAATCTACCTTTTGGTGTATGCATTTTTTACCTCTTTTTAATACTCACTATATAAAAATTTACTGCCTTACATATATGAAAAGACTTTTTTTCTAGGTGGACATCCCCCTCTTCCCAGGATATTAGAATTACTGCTCTCTGTAAGTGTTTAGAAATTCTTGTGCAAAGGGAAATGCAGTATAAGATTTAAATGCAAAGTAGCAATAAAAACATAAACAAAAGATAAAAAGTATGAATAATCAGACAATATTTAACTTTACGGAGCCATCATACTAATCAAATGTTGAAAATGTCGCAATTTCAACATCAACCTTAAACAATAGAAAAACTAAATGATTCTAATTTACGCATAGAGGATATTGTAAAAATCAAGTATTAGATATGGATTGTTAGAATTGAAAAAATTTTGATTTTTCAAAATCCACAAAAAAATGTCGCAAAAAGCGAAGTTTGATAAACGTATGTGCATAGAATTTCATTTGACATTGACATTTATGGAATAATTAATGTATATTTAATTTTGGTACAAATAAAAAATCTAACTTGTTAAGTAAAATGAGCCTGCATGGCGCTACATGCTAAATTTTTTAAACAACATTTAATTTATTCAACAACATAATTTTAGTCATCTTCATATTTCCCAGTTTTATGGGGCTCACTGTGTTCAATAATAATTTAATGATTTTAATGATTACTAGGAAAACGTTTAAACAAATTTCAGTTTGTTGTTTTTGTATTATCATGACAATAAAGCTTTTATACAATCATCCAAGTTCACTTTAACAAACTGCACTTTCATCAATACTTTGGGAATATCCGGAGCAAAGTTTGGGGAATTAAATACTTTAAACAATTCCCGAGGGATAAACTTAATATTGGCTTTAAATTGTGGATGTGTGGTGGTGGTGATGGTGNAGCTTTGGAATTATTTTGGTGATGTGTCTGGTTACTATTTTGTAAATAAATTTTAAGAATTTTCCTTTTTGTTCATATCTACATTATAATTTATAATTATATAATATATATTTTCTTCTTAAAGGAATTGAGTCTTTGCCACAAACTCTGATTTTCTAATCCCAATATCTTTATAACCCAATGTTGTAAACCTTTGATATTTTAAACTTATATTATTTGATCTTACAAAAGCCATAATTTGAAATGTCTAAGGTTTACGACGTTGGAATCCAAAGATATAGGGATTAGAAAATCAGAGTTTGTTGCAAAGACTCAATTCCTTTGTACCAAAAAATCTGTGCTTAATTTTTAAAATAACGTTTTACTTTTTGTGATCAATTGAAATGTTAAATACTTTTTAACTACTTGTTTTATCATCAATTTTTTGAACTTATAAACACTTAACAAACACTTAAATAATTTTACCTAAAGTTTTAATGGTTTCAGGAACTGATGGATCTGGAAGTTCTCCCGTTACTAAACCTCTCTTAAATATGGTTTATATCATTATTAATAATACCTACTGAAAAGGGACTGTAAGCGTAATTTCAAGATACCTTCCATTTAAAGAGGGGTCATCCCTGATTCACAACAGTACCATTGAAACCTTTATCTGATTAAAAATTTGGAGCATTTGTCGTTCTTCTAGGTTTAAAAGTTTTAATTCTGATAATTTTTATATGCTTTCCTGCATTACAGAAATGCGCAACTCGCTTTGTAGAGAAACCACAATTGAAAATAGTCTGTTTTCAAAATTATAAACATTGATATAAAAATAATTCATACTTGAGCAGACAAAGCTTTTAAGGATACTGTAGTGAATCGGGCATTGCCATCTTTACATGGAGGTAGGCCAGGGAGTAAGGAATAGAACGGAGATATAACTGACGCGGCCCGCCCAACCATATGATTATGAATGCTTTGCAGACGGTACTTTATTTGTATAAGAAATATTTGTCTGATGTACAATTACCGCGTATACAATAATCTTTTCTGAATATTTCATATAGAAATGTAGTACCCGTCTGCAAAGCATGGTAGGGCGAACCGCGTCAGTTATATCTCACTTTTAGTCCTTACTCCCTGAGGGAAGGTCACTTGAAATTACGCTTTCAGGTCCTTTCATTTTGGTTGTAATGTATTTATCCTTGGAATTAACTTTATTTGTGGCACTACGACATAGGTTCAAATGGTCGTTAAATTTTAAAATCCATCTGGTCTATGATATCCTAAAATGTTACTATACAGGGTTACCCACAAAGGTTTTTTACTGTAAGGACGACATGAAATTCTTGATATATAACGTTCTCATGAATTTAGTCTAGCTGTCTAAGGGAACAGACAGTATGCATTCCGTACAATCGTCTCTGAAGTTTCATCCTATGTGGGTAACCCTGTATATTAAAAATAAAATCTCAATTTGTAGAGATGCCCCAACAACTTTTTTATGATTGATAGGTTAGATGTTCTGAGGCACCTTATTTTACAAAGGGGGCCAAGCGCTGCAGCTACAATCATCGTCGTATATATCAATACAATGAAGACGACTTTCGATTTAAATTTTTTTATTTCTACCAAGCTTTCAAACAGCATGGATGCACATAAACATGAAAAAAGATAAACTGTCAATTAACAGTTTCTCTTTGTTCGTCTTCATTGGATTGATATAAACGCCGACCACTGTATGTATGATAAAGCAGGAGGCTCAACGCTGCGCTGTCAAAAAGGAGAAATAATTATGGAAAATTTTAACATTTTTTATGCTAGTATTTTTCTACCTTAAGATTTCCTTGTTTATACTCTTGAATAAAGGTGTCAATGTTTTCTACTGTTACTTCACCAGTAAGAAGATATCTGTAGAATAGAGAAAGTAAAATTCAAATCTAAACAATTCTGAAAACAATTCACCAACTATAGATATCAGGAAAAGAATCAGAGTATTATGTATGCATATGAATATGGAGTAAGGCTTAGAAAATACTGAAAGCAGTACAAAACAGAGGAAGTTATGCACAACAAATAGGGAAAGCAGTACAAAACAGAGGAAGTTATACACAACAAGTAGGGAAAGCAGTACAAAACAGAGGAAGTTATACACAACAAGTAGGGAAAGCATTACAAAACAGAGGAAGTTATAAACAACAAGTAGGGAAAGCAGTACAAAACAGAGAAAGTTATAAACAACAAAAAGTGAAAGCAGCACAAAACAGAGGAAGTTATACACAACAAATAGTGAAAGCAGTATAAAACAGAGGAAATTATAAACAACAAATAGGGAAAGCAGTACAAAACAGAGGAAGTTATAAACAACAAATAGTGAAAGCAGTACAAAACAGAGGAAGTTATAACAACAAATAGGGAAAAGAGTACAAAACAGAGGAAGTTATGCACAACAAATAGGGAAAGCAGTACAAAACAGAGGAAGTTATACACAACAAGTAGGGAAAGCAGTACAAAACAGAGGAAGTTATAAACAACAAATAGGGAAAAGAGTACAAAACAGAGGAAGTTATGCACAACAAATAGTGAAAGCAGTACAAAACAGAGGAAGTTATACACAACAAGTAGGGAAAATAGTACAAAACAGAGGAAGTTATACACAACAAATAGGGAAAACAGTACAAAACAGAGGAAGTTATGTACAACAAATAGGGAAAGCAGTACAAAACAAAGGAAGTTATACACAACAAATAGGGAAAATAGTACAAAACAGAGGAAGTTATGCACAACAAATAGTAAAAGCAGTACAAAACAGAGGAAGTTATAAACAACAAATAGGGAAAGCAGTACAAAACAGAGGAAGTTATACACAACAAGTAGGGAAAGCAGTACAAAACAGAGGAAGTTATAAACAACAAATAGGGAAAGCAGTACAAAACAGAGGAATTTATAAACAACAAATAGGGAAAGCAGCACAAAACAGAGGAAGTTATACACAACAAATAGGGAAAGTGGCACAAAACAGAGAAATTTATGCACAACAATTAGGGAAAGAAGTACCAAACAGAGGAAGTATGTGTATTATACCAAAATAGTGTAAACAGTATGATAAAAAGAAAGTAGAGAATTGTAAAAAATGAAAGCAGTATAATACAGAGGAAGTACAAAATAGCAAATAGTGAATGCAGTACTCGTACATTAAGATAAAAATTGGGAGAAAAAGTGAAATTTAAAGGATTGCGCGGAACAACGAAAGAGAACATGAAGAGTTGAAAAATCACATATTATACTAGAATACAAGTACCTAGCTCCATCTGTAATATTGTATAAGTACATAGCGGGTACATCCTCTGTAACCACTAGTAAACGATATTATATTAGAATATAAGTACCTAGCTCCATCTGTAATATTATATAAGTACATAGCGGGTACATCCTCGGTAACAACTAGTAAACGAAGCATCGGAAGGTTCTCTAAAATAATATAAAGATATTGATTTGTTAAATAAAAGATGTATTTGAATAAGTATGTTGTTTACCTTGTGCCAGATCAACATGAATAAATAATATTTCATCTTTGTAGTTCTTTGCAACTGTTTGCACCTGAACATGGAAGAAATCGGATGAAAATTCAACAAAATTTAACTAAATTGAACATGCCAAAACCAGCCGAGCCCGCACACCAATCAAATAAAAAAATTTCAAAATAAATCAAATTCAAAACCATTTTACATTCATGTTTTTTTCAACACTTGTTCCGAAAACATGATAGAAGAACTGATTACTCTTCTCAAACTCTAATTTTTCAACACTTTGCTCCGAAAACATAATAGAAGAACTGATTACTCTGCTCAGACTATAATTTTTCAACACTTTGCTCCAAAAACATAATAAAAGAACTGATTACTCTGCTCAAACTATAATTTTTCTAAAACTTTCAATATTTCAAACTTTGACTATTTGATCTAACATAATTCATAGTTAGAAATATCAAAGGTCTATGAGATCAGAGCTGTGAACTTTTGTTTTGAATACTCTTAATCCAGATCGCATGATCTTTGTATCCACTGTAGAAACTTTTAATTTAAGGATTAATGATTAATCTCTCTATTTCAGTTATTCCTACAGGGTACGATATCGAATAAGGATTGAATTAATCTGAACATTGCAAAAGATCGAGATCAAGGATTGATCTCGATATCCACACTACAAGAGATCCCAGCTTTTATAATTTTATAATTAGAAAGTAAAGTATGAGAGTGAAAAGAGTATTCACACCATGTTTTAAGCTGTAACTGTGATTAAACATATTTTTTTATCGTTTTCTCTTTTTTATAAATTTTTTGTTGGCAAATACGTTTTAGATGAAAAGTATAAAAAAAACTCTGTAAGCTTTTCAACATCGCTGAATTATAGACAAAAAAAGAATTGATTAAACTTAAAAGAGTTGAGTTCCTTTATCTTTGCAGCTTGTTTGTCTTAACCTTAGAGTTTTGATCTGGCAGAATGTATTGTTTGAAATATGAAAGGTTTGTGACATCAGGTTGCAGAGATATAGGGATTAAAAAATCAGAGTTGGTGACAAAACTCTGTTCCTTTCAGAAACATATAATACGATTTCATTTTATAGACATAGAATATAATTTTGTTTGATCTTTAGGCTTTCAGCTATAGGTTAAGGGAAAAATAAAAATACTGGTACCTGTACCTGTACCTGTACCTGTACCTGTATCTGTACCTGTACCTGTACCTGTACCTGTACCTGTACCTGTACCTGTACCTGTACCTGTACCTGGTCCTGTACCTGTACCTGTACCTGTACCTGTTCAATTCTCTCTTTATGTTCCTTATCATCTAGGTTTGAAACAAGAAGGAAGTGTAACTTACTCTCAGAGTTCAAAACCTTTAAAGTGAAATTATATTTTTTAAAGGAATGTTACGAAAGAATCAAATCTGTTTTTCATGCAGCCATAGATCTGTCTTATTAGTCCAGTTTAATAAAAGATAAATGAATCAAGGTTACAATGCAAGGAAAGTTATTTCAGAGGTGTACGCATCTTTTGTACTGCAGAGTACTGTCTCTGGGTGGCAATGTAAACACAAGACGGATGTCACAGCCTGACATGGGATCCATCTTTCACATAAAAAATCCATGAAATATTCTGGTCGTAGGAAACTATTATGTGAATTATCAGAATTATCAAAATTAAATGCTTTTATCCTCCTCGGATACTGAACGTACACTGATGCATCTTTCTTGTTTACAAATTCCGCCCAGAAAGAACTGATTTTAATATACAGTATACAGTCTGCACTCTGCACATTCTGCTTTTTTTAATGGATAATACATACATATTTGATATCTCAATAATTCGTGTTAGTACAGTACAATTAGGTGATTCATTTAGTGTACTGTCCCGTTTAGCCTAATATAGTCTGTACGTGAACTGTACAGCTTGCTCTATCTGCTTAAAAGATGGCCCTGTACTTAAAATGAACCGGATTTTACGTGATATATATTCTATATACTTAATCAAAAATATTTATAAAACATTACCTTTCCTGCACTACCAGGCTCATATTGTATAACAAGGGGTAAACTTTCTTTTCTAACAAAGTTTTCCAGGTTTTCCTGAAATCAAATCTATTTCCCTTCAAAAATTAATTGCAAATATTCAAAAAAAAAACTTCATCAATTTCTGAAGAAAAGATCTATAACTGAAAAAAGAAGACTGAAATATTTAAGTTTTAAAAGTTTATTGTTAAATGACAATATTCCTGTAATTTTTTATTCTTGTCGATAACCTGCTATCATCATTGATATCCATGTATAGGAACAATCTTAATTTTAAAAAATTCTTTGCACAATTTCAAATAATTGGAAGAATCAGAAATTGTATCAAAATTCAATTCAGGGAATTTCCGATTATTTTTGGCAATAAACAGTTTTTCTATTTCAAAAGCAATTTTAGATTTTATCCTAAAGTGCATCCATTTTCAAGTTCATAAATTCTCAATATTCTAAAATCTGCAAAGTTTGATAAAACTTAGTCTTATCCAAACTGAACATAATTGTTTACAAAATAAACCCTTCTATCTGTAACATATTGCTTAAGGGAACTGAAAACATAATTTCAAGTGACCCCCCACCGCTTCCAATTATAGACTCACTTGCCCGATTTACAACGATACCCTTTATACCTTTATCTGAGAAACATTGAGGAAGATATCGTTGTTTTTCTATCTTAAAAATGATTGAATTCTGTAATTACGTTCCTTGTCTTTCTAAAGAAACCTCAATAACAGAGTTATCAATTTACAGATGAAAAACCGAACGCTTAAAGGGTATCGTTGTGAGTTGGACATACTCCACTTTAATTGAAACTGAAATTACGCCGATAGTCCCTTTAAGGGACTAAATTTCGGAATCGTGTCTAACATCAAACTGAGTAATGTAAAATTCTACAACCTGGTGAATTTGTTCCTAAAATTCAACTATGCCTGAGTAGACTTGTTCTTAAAATCTAACTACCTAAATACTATGTTCCTAAAATTCAACTATGCCTGACTTGTTCTTAAAATCTAACTACCTAAATACTTTATTCCTAAAATCTAACTACCTGAGTTATGTGTTGCTAAAATCTAACTACTTCAGTGCTTTGTTCCTAAAATTTAACTACCTGAGTGCTTTTTCCTATAATATAACTACATGAGTGCCTTTTCCTATAATATAACTACCTGAGTGCTTTGTTCCTATAATATAACTACCTGTTCCTACAAAAACCCAACTACCTGGTTAACATGGTTCTAAAACCCAACTACCTGAGTTAGTTGTTTCTTAAACCAACCTACCTAATATTCTTCTACCTAATGCTTTCTTCCTAAAAATGTTCCTGAAAATCGATTACTTTAGTATACTTGTTTCAAAAATTCTATTACCTCAGTAAATTTTTCCCTAAAATGGGTTTCCTTGTCATCAAAATCCTTCATCAGCATGACGGAGCCATAGCTCTGGTAGTGGTCCTTGAAAAAAAGAAAAGATTATTATTTGTTTTGAAAAGTGCAGATTTGTCGAAGACTAATCCTGACAAAACTGGATTCTTACTTCAAAGGAAAAAATTAGATTTAAAACTTCAATTCGAGGAATAGATTGTTCACCTCATAACCAGAGGATGTTTTCATCGAATTAATGCATGTTCGATAAAAATTCGGGGGCGGGGGCGGGGATGACAGATGAGTTAAATGTAGTTTAGCTAAAGGGAGTTTCCACGAAACATAAAAGGGGGGAAAAGGACGCTCAAAAAATAAATTTTGAATTTTTAACTTCTACTTTAGTTCTATTCAATGCTTCTGCAAGGAGAATTACTACTGATAACATAGGTATTACTCAAACCAGTTTTTATTGCAGGAATTCTTGACTCAATCCTAAGAACAATGGTATGACACCCCCTATTCTAGGCTGAACTGATTGGGCCCAAAATTTGTGTGGGACCTCTCGTGACCCCGAGGAAGGTTTATAAGTTATCAGATATTGTATATTGTCTCCAAACATCCTTTATTTTCGTAAAATTTTGAAAATCCACACAAAAAATTGTAAATCCTCAAAAATTTTAATTTTTGTTTTATCGAAGGAGAAAATGCTGAAAGATTAAGCGATAATTAATAGTTGAATGAAATAGAAGATGATATCAATCATATCAATGATAATAACCAGGCAACCTTTTGCATCTGCAAAAGGAAGGGAGGCCCGGAGGGGGGGGGGGGTGATATCTTCAGGAAAATTACTGAATACTCTTTCCAGAAACATCTGATAGCTTTATATATGAAATATATTGAAATAAAATCTATTTTAGAGTCTTTAAATTTTACCCTCATTATTTGTTTATCTGTTATCGCATATGGAAGTTTACCCTCATGATATTTTTTATCTGTTATCATATAGAAGTTCACTTAATACTTTGTGTATCTGTTATTATATAAAATTTTACCCTCATTATTTGTTTATCTGTTATTATATAAAAAGTTTACCCTCATTATTTGTTTATCTGTTATTATATAGAAGTTGTAATCCTCAACTCTTCTCGCAACTGTATTGAATATATACGCCTAAACAAATAATTCAATAAGAAAATATAGTTTTAAATACTATCATATCTAATACTTTTAAATAATAAAAACAAATATACTTACGTTTCTAAATCTTAAAGTATCTTTTACATTAAAACATATTGTAAACGTAATGCTAGCATATTTATGCAGCAGATGCAACCAAGAAGGAAATTGACAGAATTCAACACTTTCATATATAGAGAAACGATGATATTGTTCTCATTGTTACTCAGATAAAGAATATTCTGCAACTCTTTAATTAAAAATAGGCTGATTTGTAAACTGAATTCCTTTCCAGTAAATTCTGTTTATTTCAATCCCAAGAAGGAAAAGGGCGGGAATCTGTTTTAATTTGTAAATGCCGTTATTCAACGTTAAAGGATCATTTAACCTCAAGTGTATTTTCATCCTGGAAGAATCCAACAATTAGAGTTTTCTCCTTCTTCACCAAACCTCGTAATCCATGACGCTTAAAACAATAATTTCGTTCAGTGCAGAATACAGAAATGTACAGGGAGAACCAGAAAACTGTGGAATAAATGTCGTCCTTTTACTTACGAATTCGGTCCTTTTCTCGAAATAGCTGAGTTGCCAATTGCGACATTTCAGTATTAAAATAAATAAGAAAAATTATAACTTTTATGTCGTCTGGGTCTCACTGTATGTTAGCTAAGCATAAATATAATATATCGACCAAATATATATATATAGGATAGAGTCGTCAGAACTTTTAAGTTTTTTGTATTGTGAATCTCAGGATCAAGCGCGCATTGATATCTCCATCTCCGGAATAATTCAATTCCTATTCAATATTCCGTGATAGCTATAACTTTAATTGCGGAATCCGTTTATTAGAGATTAAGTGTATAAGATTAGCAATATCCACATAAAAGTTTAGACCCCAGGTAAAATAAATCTAGAGATATTATACCTTACTGTAGGGAATAGCTCCCTTTTTCTTCTTAAACCAGTTCAGGATATATTCATGCTTCTTTAGATCATGATATACGAACACTTCCTAAATATCAACATATACGAACACTTCCTAAATATCATCATATACGAACACTTCCTAAATATCATCATATTTGAATACTTCCTAAATATTATCATATGTGAATGCTTCCTAAATATCATGATATTTGAATACTTCCTAAATATTATCATATTTGAATACTTCCTAAATATCATCATATTTAAATACTTCCTAAATATCATCACATACGAGCACTTCCTAAATATCATCACATTTGAGTACTTCCTAAATATCATACATATAAATAATTCCTAAATATAAAACATTTAAATAATTCCTAAATATCATAATGTTTGAACACTTATTCAATAATTGAGCGCATTCTAATGATTCCAAGTTCTCACCCAGAATATTACATTCTCCAGCTATTTATATTTTCAATAATAACAATGATGTCTTTGTTCAGGTCAGAAAGGGAGACAGTGTAGCTGGGCTGGTCAACCTGGAGATCAGAGGCGGAGTTCTGACGAAGGACAGAGGAGCAGGAGCAAGGACCGTGGAGTTAATGTTCCTCGGCTATGAGATATGAGATGTATGAAGTCACTATGATCCTGATGTTGAACAATCAGGATCCAGAGACTCAAGATACAATGAAAATATATTTTCTTCCAAGTGAGGAAATAATTCCCAAAGTTAAAACCCCTGTGAAGAAGACAAAAGTTGACAAGGACGGAAGAATGATCTTCAAGGATCATATACATAAATTTTAATCTAGAAACTCAAGAAACAATGAAGATATACTTTCTTCCAAGTGAGGAAATAATTCCCAAAGTTAAAACCCCGATGGGGAAGACAAAAGTTGACAAGGACGGAAGGATGATCTTAAAGGATCATATACATAAATTATAATCTAGAAACTCAAGAAACAATGAAAATATATTTTCTTCCAGGTGAGGTAATAATTCCCAAAGTTAAAACCCCTTTGGGGAAGACAAAAGTTAAAAGGGACGGAAGGATGATCTTAAAGGATCATATACATAAATTATAATCTGGAAACTCAAGAAACAATGAAAATGTATTTTTTCCTTAAATGGGGAAACATTTTCGCAGGTTAAAACCTCTACAGGGACAAAAAAAGTTTAACAGAAATAGCGAAATTATCCTCAGGATTACAAATACAAAATGAGAACTCAACCCTCAGGGGGTAGAGAGAACAGTGATGATATAGATTCTGCCGTTCAATCATTAATGATGACAGTGTGAGCTCAATAGCTCGGAATAGGGGATAATTTGCATGGGAACCAGGAGCTAAACTCGGATTGCAAGTAATTTGGTATATAAGCATGGCAGCTTATTAGCTCTTTTGTATATAGCTATAGGTCGGGCAGAAAGTAGGGCAGATTATAAGTTGGCTCATGTATAGGTATCCAGAGGTTGTCCCTTAAAAATCCAGAAATCAGGCTTTCACCGCCTGGAATGCTTTCAACGCGCGGAGAAACTCTCTATTTTAAACTCTGGCCAATAGGCTTGATGCGTGAAACAGGAGAAAAATGATTTGCCTGGCTCAGGGCAAAATTGAGTTAGCAGTCACAAAGAATCGAAAGAAGGAAGATTAACCGGTCATATGTGGCGGAAGAAAAGCGAAGAGTCTGCCAGAGAACTTTGGCTTTATTCGATTTATTAGTATCAACCATTATTTGTTATTATTTTATAATGTATATATATTTTTTCCTACACTCTGTAGACTCATTCACATCAGTTTCAGATTTTACATTTCCTTTATTTTCAACCACTTTTTAATGGTAACAGTAGAAAAGGTGGTTTAACGCATATTTGAACTTAACATGGGTATGATTGGGACTGAGGGAAAATTATGTTATAAATTTTACATTAGTTTACTTTCTGTGCAAATAATAAAGTTTTAAACTTGTAAAAGTTTTTGAACATTACTTAAATAAATTAATATTCTCAACTTCCCTCTTGCTAGCAGTAAACCTGGCGGTAATAAATAATATCTGCAGATATCTACACTCTACACTCTAAACTCTACACTCTACACTCTACACTCTGCACACTACACTCTACACTCTACACTCTACACTCTACACTCTAAACTCTACACTCTATACTCTACACTCTACACTCTACACTCTACACTCTACACTCT